GTTTACTTAATATACGTATTTGTCTATACTGTATGTGTGTCTTTGTTTTCATCATACATACATATTGTATAAATGTATATACATATATAATGTATGTATATGTGTGTTAGTTTTGTATGGGTATGTGTTTGTGTCATACATGTGATTAAATTTCAGTGCGCATCCTGATATGGATATGTATAATGTATATGCGTGTTTCTCGTGTTATGCGGATATGTGTAGTGCATTTGTCCCATATCTACAGATGGTTAAAAACCTTCCTTATGTATCTGGGTTGTTATGGCACCTTGCAATACCGAGCACATGTGCAAGCAGAGCTGATTCTAATAAAGCAGACACACGCTCTTCTGGGCCTATGTTTCTTGATGTTCATCTTCACAGCCTCGTCCTCGGTACGCACCCCCACACCTCTCTTAACATTTCATCGCACAGTTAGGATGATATCTTGCGCCCCTACATATTCTGAGCAAGTATTATCTATGAGCTCAAGATTCGCCTCACTCTATCTATTTCACAAACAAATTAGATAGCACTAGTCCATGGATAATCTCTCGATAGGTCTGTCCTTTGGTGTAGGATAGGGCAGATCTCATTTTGTGCTGAACCGTCGCATGCGGCCTTTTCACCACGCAGGTACGTCATCAACGGGGTCAAACATTATACGCGTGCGCTCGCTCAGCCGCATGAAGAACAGGGACGAGGCGACGCCCAACGATACCACAGGCACGTCTGGTGACGGCCTACACCGCAAGGACACCCCCACTATCATCAGCCTAGTACACGGGAAGCGCAAGCTGGATGTGGATGGCGAGTTCCACAGTACACCCGGCAATACGGGGGATGGCACACACACACACACGCACAGGCACGGGCACGGGGAAGGCGAGGGACCAGGGACTAGTGCAACACACGAGCATGCACAGGAGAACACCCTCCCACAGTACAGTAGCCATGGGGCGCAGGCTAGCGGCAGCAACAGCGGCAGCACTATTCTGAAGTTCAGGCGGCTATCGGCAGGCCTGGTGTCGGGTAGTGGTGGTGGTAGTGGTGGTAGTGGTGGCGGTAGTGGTGGTAGTAGTGGTAGTGGTGAGGGTAAAGATAAGGCACAGGTAGGGGATGGTGCGACTGCGGACGAGCATGTAGGGGATACGATGGATGTGGTTATAGGCCAGGGCGTGGGTGTAGATACAGACCCCAGTGACCACCCGACACTGGCCGTTGGTGGTAGGGCTAGGGCAAGCTACCGGGATGGGAGGAGTGGTGCAGACAACCATGGGGCTGTGAACAGCTCAGTTGATGAAGGCGGAGTGTTGGAGGACCAGGCACAAGACACACGCCGCATGGACAGCAGCGATAGGACTACCAACGGCACTACCAGCCAGGGCGGTACCATACTCAAGTTCACGCGCAGTAGTGTGGAGAGTGTGAGTAAGAGCGGAGGCGCCGCAAGCGCCGGTGGTGGTCTGGCTGCGGGTGCGAGTAGGGAGGATGGAGGGGGTGATGATATGGAGATGGGGCATGGGGGGGGTCTTCGGGAGGGCCTCGTCGGAAACGGAGGCGCAAAATCTGATACCGAGGGGAATGAGCCGCAAATAGACGCTGACTGTACGCCCGCTTGTGCACAGGAGGACGATGCAGCCGGGGAGACGCAGTACACGGAAGAAGAGCGCGAGATCTATGCTGAGCTGGAGCAAGGCGAGACACGTGCGGGTGTGCCCGAGGCCAGCAGCCCTTATACGCATACGCGTGGGTATGAGAACAGCCAGGGCCAAGACAGTGCGTCGAACAGACGCGAATCCAGCGGGAAGATCGTCATCAATCGCGCGGATTTGGGCGTGTCGATGCGGTATGACGGCGCGGGTGCGGGCGAGGGTGAGGCGCATAGTGCCAGTGATGGGAGCGTCGGTAGTCATGGTAACCGTCCGAGAGCGTTCGACGCGAGTGAAGGGGCTGCTGCGGGTTCTGGGTATAGTGCTGGTGAAGACGGCGAGGTGGTACGTGATGTGTAAGCGTGTGTGTGGTGTGTGTGTGGTTTATGTGTTAGTGCCGGTGAAGACGGCGAGGTGATACGTGATGTGTAAGCGTGTGTGTGGTGTGTGTGGTTTATGTGTTCA